GCTGAAATATGCTTTGTTTATTTCCTTAAAATATTTCCTTATTATAGTGAGTCTCTTAACTAAGTTTTCTTGCAACATGCCAAAAAGAGCATCTGAGTATTATGAGAAAAATTATTAAATGTTCTATAGTACTTGCGAGAAAAGTTTCTACTTCGGCAGTTCTCAGTTCAGTCAGACTTAATTGGCTATAAATAAAGAAGCGGAAGAAATTCAATTCTAAAAGTGACCGGTTGTACGTGGAAAACTTACACGGATTGTGGAGTCTTTTACTGGTTGAAGGCGTTTTGAGCAACTTTAAAAGTACACAAACTGTTTAACAAAACTTTTTCAATTATATTTCGACGAACCTTTTTCTAACTTTTTTTTTGACTTTGACAAACCTTTTAGACAAGCCATTTTTAAGTAATTTTTGCAACCAGGGGGAAATCCCCCCCCCATTAAGGGGAATTTCATAGTTTCAGGGCGGAATGAAGTCATACTTTAATTTACGTATTAAGTATTTAGTTTATGAATATGAAAAACTACTTTTATTCAAGTTTTGGTACTTAAACTTTGGAATAGTTTGTATGTTTTTTCTTAATTAATTTAAGAAATACATTAAAAAAGTAATCTAAATATAAATAAACGTATATATATATCTTTCGAATTTTGGAAACGAGGAGGATGATCGTCTAGCAATGGTGAAAGTGCTGCATGGCACAAAGAAGGTTGAGCACCTCTGCACTAGAGTTTAAATTACATTTTGAAAATTTTTTATACATGGGAAAATATTACTAAAGTATATACAATGCAATTTCCAATGTTAGTATTCTTCAGGAATTTTGTATTTCCTCGTCTTCTTTCATCGGTATTTATGGGTAAATAATAAAAAGGTTATTTTAACAAATAAAACTATATTTCTCTAATTTTCTGCACTTTAGATATTATCAAAGCAAGCGTTAAAAATTTGAAACTTGGAAGTAACTGAGCACAAGAAATGAAAAATTTTATATCCTTATATATGTTCTTAAATATATTTTTATATTATGTGCAAGTTCTCAGAACATAATATGCATGCAAAATAAGTACAACCGGAACAAATTTTTCTTTTAAATCAGCTATCATAGTACCATGTAGAAACGGTTTATTCCTGAAAGATTAGATTCCTTAGATTAAATTCTAGGCACATCTAAAAAAATTTTGAAAATTTTACTATTGTTCGCCAACAGATATGCTCCTATCATTGGTATAATTTTAAAGATTAGACTGTTCAATGCCGAGACAATGCTTTTGAGTTTCGAATCCTAACACAAGCAATTTTTCATCATTCACCCCTCATCGTTCATCATAATTGACTTCATCATTCTGATAGAAGCAACGCTTAGATTAAGTGAAAAAGAAATTTCTAGAAATAATCGTAGTCCAGCTAACATTCTTTTACGTTGGGTGAGACCTGACTGCTGTTAGTTCATTTGATGACTGCAAAATATAATGACCTGAAAACAGTTATAAGTACAAGTCTCCAGAAAACTTTCTCTAGTAGTTTCTTCTTAGTACTTTCTCTAAAAAACTGTACCTAAATCATCTGCATTGTCCTCCTTTTAATTCAAGCACCTAGTTAGTACTAAAGACTTTTAAAAATATTTCATTATTTTTAGGCCGTTGCATAAAATATCTGACGTTAAATCCTTGGAAAACCAAAGCATATGGCTGTAATAGACAGAATAGGATTTAATTTCACATTAGGCAAATACAGATTGGTCAAAATAAAACTGGATATAAAAGTGTTTTCAGAAATTTATGAAAACGTACGCTAAATAGCAAAGAGATCTTTAGAAATCGAAACAGAAGCTTAGTATTCAGTTGAACGCAACACATGTTCATTGTTGAAAGCTATAAGAAGCGTGTATATTAAAAACGTGAACTGAATTTGCTTTCGCATGTTTTTAAAAATGGGAATGTTTTGGGAAAATATGCAGTGGAAACCGTAGTGACAAAATGACACGAAGCAGACTGTAGTGAAATACAATTAGTTCTCTTGTTCATTAGCAAGTGTCAATTTAATGTCAGAATTATACACCTTTTCTAGGCCAGTTTTATTTTGGCCCCCTGGAATTGGGATTCTCCAGAATTGCACTCGCGAAGAAAGATTTATAGTCGTAATTTGTTATATTGCCCGTATCTAGACAAGTTTATTGATATATTAAAGTTCGTTTATTCTAAGATGTAGACTATAATTTAAGAAAACATAACGAATGATTTTTATCAACTGCTGTTGAAGTTTGAAGTTAGTATAAAAGTTTAAAATTTAAGTGAAGTTATCTAAATAAGATTCGGATTTAGAAAGTTAATTAATAGTGTGACTTGTTCAATTTTTGACTCAATGGCTATCGTTGCTTTTAAATATATTAAATTCTTCTTCTTAGTAACTTAATTTTAAGTAAGACACGTAAGGCGTAATGTTTCTCTTGTCTTTCCTCCAAATTTATAAAATTCTCAGAAAATACCAAATTCTTGAACTGCAATTTGAAATTTATTAGGAAGTTCACTTTATTATTGTAATGAAACAAGTAAAGAAATTTATTCTTGAAAAAAGAATGCAAATTTGAATTTAATTCGTTTTCAGGAGTAAGGAAATCGGGAAGAATATTTTCCGTCTTAAATCATTCGCAGTATTTTGATCAAATGTACTAGCTACGGATAAAAGTATTAAAATATGACATTACTTCTACTCATAAGTATTCAAATGAAATACGACTTGTTTAATTTGGGATGCCTGGATTTTAGCTGTAGAATTCTGCGGCAAGTAAGCAAATATGAGACGGCGGTGCAAACAAGAGACCATTTACCTAAAAGAGGGCGATTTGCTCCGCCACATGCAGTCCTTGTCCTTGAAAGAGTTGTCATATTTACACATAAAAATATGTAAACTCTTTCAAGGACAGGTGCTCAAAGATTCCGAAAGACACCCCCCCCCCAACATTTTTTCTACTTTTCATGCTGAAATAACATTTACCTTGATTTTGGAGTCCCTAAACTAAAACTGCGTGTAATATATGCTTTGTCATTATACTATGATAATCTGACATTAAACTTAATGCAGACCAATTAAGAATTGAAGATACTCAACTTAACAATGTTTTGGATTTAATATTTTGTGTCTCCAGTTTCTCTTCTGATCCCACTAGAGACAGAGACACATAAAATCAATAAATTTTCATTGTAATGATTATTTACATTGAAGCTTTCTTTCAAAAAAAAAAAAAAAAAATTTTTTTTGCTGCACGCGTGCTTGAAATATAAAATATATATAAACGGCATTTTATCCTTGCATCATATCTGAAATTGAAATAACATAATTCTTTCCTGATTTAACGAAATAGCTCCTTAAATCAAGGTTTGACGATATCGAAAACCCAAATTTAAAGATAATTCTTAACGGTCGCTTGACAGTCATTAATTTAGAATTTGACTACATGTCTCTTTTGAAGGCTAAACGTTATATATAGACATCTTCTTATTTATTAATATGCCTTTAAGCAAACAAACAAAATTAAACTAACAACTATGAATTACTAATGTGACTATAATTAGAAACGCTCAGAAATGAAAATCCAATCGAAAAAAAAAAAAAAAAAAAAAACAGTTATTTTAATGCTTAGAAGACTTACGATCATAGAGATCGAAACGAGAATAATTAAAATTTCTTGCTATGAAATTTTATTTCCGAATACCAATTTAAGGAATGATTGGAACAAAGTTACTTTCCAAAATTACAGAGTAAAATTGTAAATTTTTTTAAAAGGATGACAGTAGTTGACAAAGGGGGAGGAAGAGAAAAGGTTTTTCCCCTTTTTTATATAAAACAAATTTTCTAGCTCAGAAATCTTTTAATTAATTAGCTCTAGATACACTTTTTAATTAGCTCTAGATACACTTTGGGGGGGAGAGGGGAAAACAGCAGTAACAAAAGTCTAAGTTCAAATAGATTCTAGACGAAATGTGAATAAATAATTCATTAAAATTTATTGGAACATATTTAAAGCAATATTATCAGCAAAATTGCGTAACTAAGCTTTCCACTTTGCCGCTTTCATTCGGATAAGTTCATTTTTCAGAGTTTGATATTTATATATCATCTCATTATGCTCTTTCTTCCTTAAATAGTATAATTAATTGAGTTTATCTTTATGAAATAAATTCAGTATACCTTGACAAAATATCCAAAGTATTTCTACAAAATGAGAGATAAGGAATATCCACTATAGTTTCATGAAATTAATTTTGAAAGGTACCATGAATATTAAAAAAAAAAAAATCAAATTCACTATGTATTTACATCATTAAAATTTAAAATGAAGAGTAAAAAGAAAAAAGTACACAAATAAATATATTACTAAAAATAAAACTACCGGAAGCGATAGACTAAAGCAATATATGAAAGAATATTTCACATTAAATTAATTAATTAAAACTTAATCTTAAATTGTTTATTTTAAGTTTGTGAATCAAAACTGTCAAATCAAAACTACACTTCTACTTTCGTTTAAATGTAAAAATTTTGAACCGGAACATTTGCAATAACAATATAACATCATCGTAATTATGCTCCATAATGTACAAACAATACAGAAATCTTCTTTTATCATATTATCTACTTTTTTCATCATACCGGTAATTTTAAAGACCATAAAAATCACTTTTTTTTTTTTTTTTTTTTTTGTTACGATAAAAAAAAGTGACGCGCAAGCTTCACAAATGAAAAACAATTATAATTACAATAAATCGTACTCGTGATCCAGTAAATGCATTCAACACATTTAATTTAACTTATCTGTCAAAGCATGGTTTTTCACACATGGAATATCAACACATTTCTCGTCAGTATTACCTATTCACGGAAACTGAAACATTCATATGCGGCGCTTACACGCATTTATTTACGTTAGAACACTAGTCATGTCTGAAACTCGTGCCAACGTGCAGGAATGCGCGGATAATTTAAAGAATGCTTTCCTTACCTCTTGCTGTTCCTTCTCCTCCGTTTAGTAGCATACATAGTCCCCAAGTGGTTCATGATTTTCCGACACTCAACAGCAAACTCAAAAGTTGTCGTCAGAAAAAACAAATTATGCTCCGAACTCTCAAGGCTTCATTGCCTCGCGAGTTTCAATTTTACAAGGAGACACTACAAAAAACCGCCGCCGCCGACCGTTCGCGCTCACCTCACAACAATAAAATTCCACCTACATACGTTTCTGTCACACTACCGTTTCATATTCGCATTCGAGAGTTGTTTTGTTTTGGTTTTTTCCTGCTGCGGGGAGATCTGTTCGTTGATTGATGTTTGGCCCTCCGATGTAGGCGGGGATTCTTTCAACTACGCCTTTGCAATCTGGAGTACTGCCCAATGGAGGGTGTGAGGGGCAAGTGACGTCACGAGTGATGTGTCGGCGGCGCCATCATGTGGAGAAAAGTTGAACTGGACACCGGAAATCCTAACGTTTCGAAGAGAAAAAAAAATGCTTGCGAAATACATTTTGAGCAGCAATGGTTATCAAAAATACTTTCGAGATTGAAATTTTCATTTACTTTAAAAATGGTTATCAAATTTTAATGAAGTGTGCCTTGAACTCTTTATTATCAAAATTTTACTCTTCGTTATCAATTTTTCAGTAATAAGTCAAAAACTTAAATATTGTATACGATGATTAATTAGAATTTTGTAAACCTACTACTTCAATTCTAAGGAGTTTAGAAAATAGTATAAAAAGGGCATTGCCAATATTAAAGCAAATAATGTTTTTGTACTCCTATTTAATAAATGATTTAAACTGATTCTGACATTTTTGAGATCAGAATATTAAAAGGACTAAGAGTCAAAATGGAAAACGGGAAATATTTTTCATAAAAGAAATGTATCAGATTGTACCAAATTAATATATTAATAAAAATCAAATACTTAATGTTTCCCTTTTCTTTAGAAGCATTCTTTCTCCTCCGAAATAAAATCCTCCTTTTTTCTTCATGTATATATAATAATTAACAGCAAATATAATTACACAGTGACAGTCATTTATGCAATTAAGATATTTAATTAAAATTGAAATTAGGTAAAAACGCTGAATAAAAATTTTCGCCTTCTGTGTGTATGTTTGGCAAAGTAAAATAAAAATTTTGAAGCTCTTAATTAAAGTCTGTAACTAATGTATTAAATTATTACTAGTCTTCAAGATAAAATTCTGCTTTTTTTCTTTCTATGTACGTAATAAATAATGAGTATCTCGAAGCACAGTTATATAGAGGCATTTATGCAAGTGCGATACATAATCAAAACTAAAGTTTTATTCGCCTTCAGTGTAGGTGCCTACAAAATAAAATTTTTGTAACCTTTAATTAAGTAATGAATTAATTAGTATTAACAGTTGTTAAGTAGTTATAACAATAGTTAAGTAATTGGTATAAATTAGTATTATACAGTAACTGGTGATCGAATTAAAATTTAATTCAAGAAATTTTAGTTTCAGTCATAATTAAATAAATAAGAAGTGGAAAGGGAAAGAGCACCTCTCAGACATACATGTCAAAATTTGCAAACATTAACTTTTTTATGAATTATTTTTTTCAAAGTGAAGATCTTCTTCATAAAATCATACATTAAGAACATGGTTAAACATTGCATTTATTCTTAATTAGTACATTTAAAGTCTATCTCATTGAAAAAATAAAGTGCTGCAATTTCCATACACTAGTACATAATGGATAATATAACGAAGTACGAAACCTTGTTATTTTAATCTTTTACTTTTGCGTGCCCTGTTAGTTTAATCTTTTAAGTCCAGTATATTATTATTGATTAAATTCATCTAAATTTCCGTACTTCCTTTATTTCCTCCCTGAACTTTCTGATGCAATTTGATTTATTCTTCTAAGCATTTGAATACTATTTCTCATGCAACAATGTAGTCTACTATTAATATTTATTTATTAATTTACATATTTTTGTTTTTCTTGTTTGATTCCAGAATATTAGTTATTAAATTTCTATGTAATTTATTACATTCGCTAATTTTCATAACGACAATGTAACTGTTTGAATTTAAAAAAATTAGTCAATGAAAATAAAAATTACATTAATTATTTTAATTTCAGGAGTTGGTATAAAAGTTTTAATTTAAATACCAACATAGATGATTCAGCATGGAGTTTTGTATGAGATCTAATTAAGAATAATCTATTGTAAGGATTAAATTTCGCAGCCAAGCATTTTAATTAGGCTGTGCTAGTTTAGTCACATATTACTTACACATTCCAAATTAGTTTCATTTCGTTGTTTATGGTAATCAGTAAAAATTAAAGGCGAGAAAAACCGAGAACCAAGAAACGTCTGTTGTTACATTTAGTATATTTTAAAACTTGAAGAGGAAAATGCAATTTTAGTTTAATTTAAAAAAAAAAATTCACAAACGTAAGTGCTGTTTAAAAGTTTAAATATTCTCTAGGGATAACGGTTTATTTATTTTCCATTTTTTTATTTTAAGTATGAAAGCTATTATTCTTGTTCCTTCATACTGACGTATATGACTCCTGTCATATACGCTTTCTTACTACTTTCAAATCAGTTTACACCTATGCATATTTTGCATAGAATATCAGTTAAGTCTATGCATATATATGGAATTTTGCATTTCGCTATGATGCATATGGAATTTTGTAGGTTGATGTGAAATCTTTGAAATACTCTCAGCAGTTACTCATAAAGCAGATAAAATTACCTTCATTAATGTAATTTTTCTTGTGCAGTTCACTGTAAAACTCGCATGTAAATAAGTACCATGGCCACCAAACACTGTTTCAGAAAATACAAGATACCAGTCAACAGAATCTCTATTCTAATTAAACACAGCTTAATTTTTTTCCCCCGAAATCTGTGATCAGGCTCAATGTAGAAATCTGTATAGTTGCAGCCTTGGATGAGATGCGTTTATATTTCGCTTTAAGATATTATGAAGAATTAAGAAATAGCTGAGTTTTAAAATAACAGTGAATATGCAGGGAAAATAAGCTAAGAAGTTTTACGATACAATGCATTATAGATGCGTAAATTTCTGTTCACATTTATTATGTTTCCGAACAGTGAAAGAGAAACTTTCGAAACAGAAATATAGAAAATTATTTAATGCAGAAGCAGAGCAAATTATTTAATACAGAAATAGAGAAAAACAGAGAAAAATATTTATATTTCGGTAATATAACTTGAACCCGCGGTTTTTATTCTTTGCTTAGTTTCGGATTTATTTGATTTTAGATGAAGGCTAAATAAAAGCTAGTAACTCAATATTTAAACGAAAACAGAATAAAATGTAACTGTTAAATTTAAAACGATGCTTTCCTCTTTTTAACGTAACAGTGTTTTTTTAAAAAAATATCTGGAATGGTCGTTATTACTTGAGAAAGCAAGCATTAGGAATTAGATTTCAAAAAATGTGGTTGTATCATCGTGTTTTACGCATCATTATTAAGTTTGATAATTTTTACACATAAAAAATGGATAGCAACCAACCAAATCAACATTTTAGTATCTCATATGCAGCAAAGAGCAGAATTTAAAAGCATTGCATCTCAACTTCGAAAGCAAAATATTTCGGTACTGAATGATATCATCAGAATTATTCATATGCTTAATCGGTCAAACTTATAGTTTATCCTTTTATAAAACTGAAACCTCATCTAAAAGCTATTCGGGTCTAGATTTGGTGAACTTTATTATCTTTTACAAATTACCTGCCATTATTCTGCCCTGTATATTTTACATTTGAGAGACCTTGGCTTGATAATATACTATTAATTAGCAGTTGTTTGTCTGAAAATCAGAACACAAGAAAATTATCGTTCACAAATTGTTGGCGCGTTTTGTCTTAAAAAAGATAAGTAGTAATAATAATGTATTGTAGACAATTTAAAACTGCTAAAGTTACAATACATAATTATTTCAGTCAGTTATGCGCTATTTTCTAGTGGTCTTTTACTTCACACAACTTTATCTTACTTTTAATTAATGTACATAATTCAGTTAATGTGAATTGTGATTGAAAAATAACCGGCAGATATTCGATGCATGAAATATCTTCGAGGCAGATAAATTTATCAATTTGACGCTCTAAATACCAGAGCCTCTTTCGGCTACTCACGAGTTTCCACTTCATATTTGTTAACTAGTTTTTCAAAACATGTAGCGCTTTTCTTTTAATCAGTTAATGAAAAAAAATATCCTAATGAATTTCACTAAATAAACAGTAAAGCAAAACATTAATTAAAACAGATTAATGGAGTCTGTACTTAAATATAACATTTCACTAATAGCTATTAAAAGCACTCTGAATTTTAAATTTCCTGCAATATACGCATTGTTGACTTATGAAATGAGGCCTGGATTTGTATGATGCAATATTAATTCTTCAATACTTAAATAAATATGAAATTAAAAAGCGATAAAATGATAAAGTATTAGAATAGTAATATATATATTACTATTCTGTTTATAATATAATAATAAACTGATAAATATTAGAATAGTTAATTCATTTAGCAACTTTGGAGAATTAGAATTATATTCACTACATCTATTGTTAACAGATTAATATTAATTTCATTTTATTAATTTTCCATAATAAAAAATTCGAATATTCTTTACTTAAAATTAATAGAATAAAATTTCAGCTTTAAAATGAAAAGTTCTTAATATTATTATTAGACTTGTAATGGTTGCTAGTTGTCATTAAAAATATATTTACAAAATTTTCAGCCTTCTGCTGAATGTTTTATGTCCAAGATAGTGAAAGACATGCACGAAAATGAAATGATACTACTGTAATTCCTCGTAGTCCTTCAAAACTAATTCTGTAACTTTATGGGCGTGTAACTTGGAGAAAGGAGTTTAGGAAACTTTCAGAGAGAATAGAAGCATTGTTTATGACAGATGGTCTTATTTTTATTTTAATTACGACATTCTATAGCAGTATGATAACTTTAAATCAGTCGTATGTTTTTGAAAATAAGGGCTAAAATAAATATGTACTTTAATGTCTCAACCGCCCTTCCCCTCCAAAAAAAAATCTGAAAGTTTTCAGATTTTACATTACACCCAAAGGGACTTTTTGTAATAAGTTTTTTTTTCCCGCACAGTGGTGCTATTGATCACTTTGAAATTGTTTTCTTAATCAAAATTTCGTTAAAGATTTACAAAATACAAAATAGATAACAAAACAAATTCCAAATTTCAAGTTTGGGCTTCCAAATTCCCATATTCGGGTGGAAACGCACGTTATTCAA